ATATATATTATATATATATACTATATATATTATATATATATATTTTTTATATATTTCTTTTATATATATATTAGCCTATACCGTATTAATATATATATACTATATATATATATACTATATATATATATATATATATATATATATATATATATATATAACTTATATATATATATATATATATATATGTAAATCATATATATAGTGATTATATATATATATATATATTATGATATGTAATATTATATATATATATAATATTATATATATATATATATATATAATATATATCGTGTGTGTGGTGTTGTGTTGTGTATGGATGGATATATACATATTATTTATATATATTATCATATTTAATATAGTAATATCTAAAAAAAATAAACAAATAACCAAAATAAAAGATTAATGAATTAATTACCATCGAGCATTAGCCATTGCCGAGATATCAAGGTCAATCTCCACAGCCATTGGCCGCATCTTGGTTGACTCGTGGCCTTCCTCACGTTCTTCATCTGAATCCAGGAGGAGGTCATCTTCATCAAAATCATATGGATCGCTGAAAGAAATTAACATCATTAACCACTTGAATCTGGTTGCTTCATGGCAATCACATGGACCAAAATACGGGCATTAGGCTTATATAATCAGCTGCACTGCTGGGTGTGCGGTGAGAGGCCAAGTGCACATAATCTCTCATGTTAAGTGACAACTCGATGCCTCCCCTTTGTAATGTTATTTTGCATGAGCATGTTTAGCTTTTCTGCCATTTTCCAATGTCCATATTTGTCTTCTGATTTGCTTTATCCAGCTGATAAAAGACTGTTTTCCTTGCACAGACTCCGTCATTTTCTCATTCATGTAATTTTTTTTCATTTTCTATATTATTCAAGTTTCTGTAATACGAACTGTGCTACCAGTCACAGCAGCCAGAAATAGGAAATGACATCCTCCCTGGAGCTGGCACTCTTGCAGTCAAGGCTCATGAACATTACATTCCACATTAGTTTATGGATGGGAATAATGTAAAAAGCCCCTTTCTAAATGCCAAATGAGTCTAATCCCCCTCTAAGAGGTGTGTGCACTCATCAAACAACAAAAAGAACATAATAATAAATGACTGCAAACTTCAGAATTCTTTTCAAACTTACCTAAGAGAAAGAGCAATAGTGTTTTTTTCCAGCTTTAGTTCCTTGATGGAGAGAGCTACTGGGTCCCCTCTTGTCTTAGCCTCATCCAGTAGCTCACCGATCTGTCGCCAGTCAATCTGATTGGCAACTAAACTGCGTACAACCAGAATGGCCTTTTCCACCAGATCTTTGTTTAGTTCTGCAAGATGTTTGGAATTTATTCATCTATTTCATAATGTATTCAATAATGAGGCCTTAGTAATATTTTCTTGCCTAAATTTCTGTAAAAACACCAAGCCACCATGATGCAAAGTTCAAATGACTGCAGGGCTATAAATAGCAACTGAAATGAGATGACAATGGCATGACATATATGTTCCCTGTAGGATATTCTCTCTCCATATGACATGACATTCATGCCTCTGGAGGTACAGGGTTATACAAAGATGCTTCAAAATGCCAAAATAGTATTTCCATTACTATCTTTAAGCTTATGTATTCAAGTTGTGGAATATTTGGCAGAGGTTAATTTGTTCCTGGCCGCAAAACTATGTGAACATTAACATTAAATGTTTAATCTATAGGAATTTCTGAACATTTGCATATACATACAGATATACATTATATATCAACATTTTAGAACTTTAACCCATTTCATTGATATCAAGCACTTTTCTACATTTCATGTAACATTTCTCAGTTGTAAATTTAGTGACACAAACGAAATAAGACCTAGAATCTATGGCAAACTGAACTCAAATACAAACAGCAGAAATCACATCTCAAATCTCAAAAATCTGCGAGATTGGAAAATAATAAGGCCACGCATGGAAGCATTAGTCTACTTCGATATTTCTTCTCCCTACAACCCCTCTCATGGTCCTCCCTGTGCTCTTTACCTATAAGTTGCCCTTGCAAGATGTTGTTCTTTTGCATGTTGCTCAGGTCTTGCAATCGTTTCATGTGGTCCTGCTTGACATTGGCCAGCTTTTTCAGTGCTTCCTTCTCTTGCTGCATGGCCTTCTGGTCAATCTTGACAGCTTCCATCTTGGAAAAGAATTCATCACAAGCTGTTGTGGATGGAATATATGGTTTGAATGGAACTTATCTATTCTTCATCCTGGTGGAGTTACAAAAGGCATCAACAGCATTGTAAAGGCATTTGTAAGATGCCATTAAGTTTTTATGCTATAAGATGAAAGACTGGAAAAAAGAACCATTTATATCAACAAATCAGAGACTTAGAAAATAAATATTTGATATTCTGTTAGCCTGAAATTACACTATTCACTAAAAAGTTATATTTATGTTTGATAACTGATGACTGATGACTGATTAATAATAATGAAGATGATGGCGAAATAAAGGAGAAT